ATAATGGGTGGACTATTTTTTTCTTTTAGGAGAAGTATCCTACTTCCTTTGCCCCCCTCTTTTTTCATATTGAGGTGTCATTGGTATAAGACCCTGTACATGACTTAGGGATCAGGCTCACACCTCCCAGATGCAGGTGCCCACACCACCACCCAAGCACCCACAGTCCTTCACCGTGGACCTCTACCGTAGTCTGAGAGTCATCAGATGGGAGAGGAGACACAGAGGCTCCAACCAGAACTACCGTGGGGGTGCTCGCTTCGGCAGCACATATACAGAACTACCGTGGGGAAGGGAAGATCTATCACATCAGCCTCTGCCATCGTCCTCAAGGTCACACCAATTAAATGCAGAAGAGGCCGTGCATGAGCAGTCCCTGCAGCACTGAGGGAGGCAGAGCAAGACCAGGAAAGAGGACCCCTTTGGTTCCAGAAAATCTCCTGAAAGAGAGGGAGGCTTATCACGTCATCAAGGCCACTTAGACAAAGCAGGCACTTTTGGAAAAGAAGGAGCAGGGGCAGGAAAGACCTTAGACTGTAAAGTAAAATCAACAATAAAAGGGTCCATCTGCCTGGTCTCAACTAAGGGCGCACGCCCAAGAGCCAAGACTCAGCAGGCCTGGCCTTGCTGAGAAGCCGTATCGGCAACACCAAAAAGCTGTCTCCCCGCAGATCAGTAACTTCCAGTAAAGACAGAGCTCAAGCGGATGGCCCTGCTCACACCCCCGCTCCCGGAGATAAGGCTCCTTGTGCTCCTCAGTGCACAGACAGGTCAAATAGGTGCATTAACTAGACACCTGTTATGGGCTGTTCTCTGTAAAAATCCTCGAAAGTGTACAATGTTTTCCTTGTGGACTCTATAAAATTCTCATCATGAGGCTTAAAACTGAAAAAGCTTTGCCAGAGCATCTGGAGACTGCACTGGGCTCCAGCCCTCCATCTTATTCTTCAGTAAACTCACCTTTGCTTCCTTCATCTTATTGAAACTGCAGGTGTAAAGGACAAGAATGATTTCTGCATGATTTCTGGTGGCAACAGCATCCCCAAGCCTTCAGCCACCCCAGGATGCAGTGTCCCCATAAGACAGTGTCACCACCAGTGGCGTGTCCGAGGAGTAGCTTCTCCCCATCACAAGGTCCTGTTGTCCAGTCTCTCGGGAGGAGTACATGACTCAGTAGAGAGACTCCCACAATTCCTGTCTGTGGAGACCCAGAGCTTCGAGTGAGGTGTGTCCCTGCTAGAGCCTCCCCCTTGCTAGAGAGGAAAGGAAACTGAGGTCAGAGTGTCACTGACGGAAACAGGAGCCCCAGGGCCTACCCCTGGGTAGACTCAGAGCTGATGATGTCAGCAATCTGTGGCTCAGTTTCTCCTCTGGAACCTGGCATATGCCATTATTATGATAATTTTTATTTTTAAAGATTTGTTTTTATTTATGTATGTATACAAGAACTGGATAAAGTTCTTGGTGTGGACATTCATGGAGATAACCACACCACAGTGAAATGGTAGGCCAGAGGTGTGGGGTTTGACAAGATTCACCAGAGACAGAGTGTGGAGCAGAACAGGCAGATCTACTGAAATATACTGCAGAGGGGAGCCGCAGGCAAGACAGGAGAGGTCTGCTGTGCCATTTGGGCAGCACCCTGGCCAGGGATCAAACTAATGATGCAGTGGCTGGCCATAGCTTAATAGTGCTGAGACTTAACCCTTGTGCAACCAGGGAGGCTCCCACCTTAATGGTTTCTTTTTTTTTAATAAGTTATTTATTTATATATATTTTACAGCATTGTTCATTTTTGTACAATGTTTGCTTTCTTTCCTCAGGTCAAGTCTAGTCTCTATAGAATTCCCATCATCAGTTCTCCCGTGCACCATCACCATAGTTCCTTGTGCTCTTCCCACCCTTGTTTTGATCCCTCTTGTTCCCCCTCTCCTGCAGAATGTCTCTGATTTATAGTTGGCTGTTTATTTATTATTGTTATTATCATTTATTATTATTTATTATTTATTATTATTATTTATTTATTAATGTTATTATTTTTTTCCAGATCCCTTATTTGGCTCTCCTATATTCCTACTATAATTGAAATCACCTGCTAATTTTCTTTCTCCTTCGGATTTATTTCACTGAGCATAATGCCTTCTAGTTTCATCCATGTTGCTGTGAATGGCATGAGTTTATCTTTTTGGATTGCTGACTAGTGTTCTTTGTGTGTATATACCACATCTTTTTCATCCAGTCATCTATATTTGGGTATTTGGGTTGTTTCCAAATCTTACCTATTGTAAATAGTGCTGCAATAAACGTAGAGGTGAGAGTGTTCTCACCAAATGAAGGAGCACCAACATATATAAGACAATTATTATCAGCTCTGAAAAAAACATTAGAGAAAACACATACATAGTAGGAGACATCAACACCTCACTCTCACCGATGGACAGATCAATGAGACAAAAATGAACAAGGACATTAGCACCCTACATAAAGACCTAGACATCTTGGGTTTAACAGACATCTATAGGACACAATACCCAAAAAACTCTGAGTGCACATTTTTCTCAAGTGTGCCTAATCATTCTCCAGAATTGATTACATGTTGGACCACAAGATAAACATCAACAGATACATTACCCTCAAAATCATTGCAACTGGGCCTCCCCTGGTGGCGCAGATGGTTGAGCGCCTCACTATGAAGCTCTTTGCCGTGCTCTTCGCCACACTCTTCGCCGCACTCTTTGCAGCCTCTGTAGCGATGGTTCAATCCTAGCCGGCCAGCAAGGGTCCCACCTGGTGCGGCAGACCTCTCCTGTCACACCTGCTGCTCCCCTCAGCAGTGTATTTTGTCAGTCTGCCTGTTCTGCTCCCTGCTCTGTCTCTGGTGAATCCTCTCACCCTCCCGCACATCTGGCCTGTACTCCAGTTCTTGTATAAATAAATAAATAAATAAACCTTAAAAAAAAAAAATCATTGCAACTATCTGGCCTCGCTGGTGGCGCTACAGGGTAAAATGCAACCTATGAAGCTATCTGCAGACATGGCAGCAGGAGTTTGATCCCTGGCCAGGGAGCAACACATATGGAGCAGCAGACCTCTCCTGTTTCACCCACTGCTCCCTTCAGCAATGTATTTCAGTCAGTCTGCCTGTTCTGTTCCCCACTTTGTCTCTGGGGAGTTCTCACCCCCCCCCAACACCTCTGGCCTATACCCCAGTTCTTGCATGCATAATAAATAAATCTTTAAAAAAATAAAATTAAATTTAAAAAAATAGAAAAAAACCATTCCAATTATCATCTCTCATCATAAAGGCATCAAACTAGAAATAAACCATGAAAAGAAAGGAGGAACCCCCCACTTTGTGGAGATTGAACCCCACGCTACAGGGAGAACACTGGATTAAAGAGGAGATCACTCAGTGTCACCGGGTGTTTTGTTTCCATTTGCGGCCCAAAGAGCCAGATCCCCATTTACAGCACAGTGTCAGTGGGGATCATTCATGGATTTTAGTATTGTCCCCTGCATAGGCTCAAGGAGGCAAATTGCCCCAAAACTAGGTGGATACAATCTGAGCACTTCTAATGGTCATTTCAGGTAAAATCTAGGAAATAGTTTGACTGTCCCACCACTTACAAATTTATGTAATTTGCATGCTGTTATATGAAATGATTTGTGTGGGTTTCTTTTTTTAAGATTTATTTATTTATACAAGAACCAGATGCACAGGCCAGATGCAAGGGAGGGTAAGAAGATTCACCAGACACAGAGCAGGGAACAGAACAGATAGACTGACGAAATGCACTGATGAGGGGAGCACCTGGCACGACAGGAGAGGTCTGCTTTGCCATGTGGGATCCTTGCTGGCAGGCTGGGATCGAACCAGCGCTGCGGACAGATTCACAGCGTGGTGCTTAACTGCCTGCGCCACCAGGGGAGGCCCTGATTTGTGATTTTATGTCTTCAAACATCTAAGAAGAGTTGATGATTTGAAGTTTAAGGCTATAAGTTTCTAGGTTGTGTATTTTCTGGTAATAATTTGTTATATAATGTTAACGTAGTACTCATATAAAGGAATTGGTGTGATTTGGATGACTGCATATGGGATAATGACAAAGTGAAATCATTATTTCCTTTTCTTTTTTAAAGATTTATTCTTATTTATTTATGTATACAAGAACTGGGGTGTAGGCCAGAGGTGTGAGGGGGTGACAAGATTCACCAGAGACAGAGTGGGGAGCTGAACAGGTGCATCTATTAATATACACTGCTGAGGGGAGTAACAGGTAGACAGGTAAGCCCTGCTGTGCCTTGGGGATCAGCTCCCTGGGCAGGGATCCACCCTCCAGTGGGGACCCTCAGAAAAGGATCAGAAACAACCAGACAAGTCTGGGAGGAAAAGAGCAAAATCAAAAGCAAGACAAAAACTGCCACTGTCACCTCCCCACGGGCCTCTCACCCACATCTGTGTCACCCAGTCTAGGACCAAAAGGCAAGCGTAGTTTCTTCACGCGTCTCTCTGCTCCACGTCCTCCTCCAGGTCTCCTTCTGGCTCCATCCTGCTTCCTTCCTTCAGAAGTCTCCTCTGCAACTTCTTTTCTCTTTAGCTCCACCCTCCCTTGGGTGGGGCAGGGAACCTGGAACCTTCCCTTTTCTGGGGGACCGTCCTATTACAATGTGAACTAACATTATGAACAAATTTTCTGGGGTCTCAGTTGTCCCTATGACCTTTAAAGTATTTTCTACTTCACTGGTTAACTTTTTCAGATCAGCCCAGGTGGGTGGAGCAGATGCTCCATTGAGCCACAGGATTCCTGTTCCTCCTTTCGTGGCCCCTCCCTGGAGGCGGACGTGACGCAGCGTCTGGATCTCGGGACAGTCAGCGGATCGTCATGGCGGCGAAGGAACGCTAGGAGTGCGCGCTCCCATAAAAACAATTATTAGGGAGAAAAAGCCGCTGGTCCCTGCTCCAACCCGGACACGCAAGATAAACTGGCGACGCCGGTAAGTTGCGGTAACAGACGAGCAGAGGGAGCAGCGGAGCCTGCGGCCCCCGCCCCTTGATTCGGGCTCCTCCGCCTGCGGGAAGGAGAAGCGGAAGCGAGTGTCGAGGCGCAGCGCCGGAGAGTGCGGGGTCGCCCCGCGGAGTCGCCAGCTGGGCGCCCGGAGAGGCAGGTAGGGGCCCGAGACCTGCTGTCGCGGGCGCGATCGATGAGCGTCAGGCGGAAGCTGGCGCTCGGAGAGGACTCCATCCACCCTGTAGTGGCCACGGACACGCTTGAGTCTATGCAGGCCGCCAGCCCCAAGCTCCCTGGTTCCTCTGACCCGAGTGACCCGAGACAGGGGCCCCACGTGTCTTAGCCGGGACTTTCCCTACGTGGACGGCCCGGCCTGGGGGAGTCTCGAGGCTGGAGGCCCCAGGGCGGATGGTCGCGCCGGGGCGGCAGCTGCTTGGCCGCTCGTGCGCTGTCGGGAGCAGGTCACCGGTCGCGGGAGCAGAGCCGGGAGCGCGGGTCGGTTCGAGAGCGACGAGCAGGCGAGGAGAGGTTCGGCTGCAGAGCGAGTCTGAGTCCAAAGCGGGCAGCGACCCGGGCTCCGCAAGAGCAGCCTCGGCGCGTCCTCTGCTCCGCGCAGGTTGTTAGGGCTGTGCTGGGTCGGCTTCAGGTAGCGGCTTCTTTTATACCTTCTTTAAAAAAAAAAAAAAAAGTGAAGAGTTGTAAAGTTGGCGAAGGAAGAGACAGAGGGGAGGGAAAGAAAAGTAAAGTTTAATAAGCAGCGCTCCCTGGCGGAGACTCACTAAGTCACTTGAGGACCCAACGAGACCGCGCGCAGGACCAGGCACCGGGGTGTTTATGGGGGGCGAGCGACGTGTCATTCTCCGCTGGGTCTTTTCCTTTTTTTGGCCGGGTTTTTCGCTGGGCGCCTCCCTTCGCATGGATTAAGTGGCTCCAGCAATTTGCTTCAGGGCCGGTGACATTCCGAGAAGGTGACATTCCCAGAAGCCCGGGCCCCTACAAAAAAATTTATCCATATATTTTTATACAAGAACAGGGGTACAGGCCAGATTCGCGGGAGGATGAGAGGATTCACCAGAGCCAGAGCGGGAAACAGAACAAGCAGACTGACGAAATGCACTGCTGAGGGGAGCAGCAGGCGAGAAGGAGAGGTCCGCTGCTCCATGTGGGACCCTCGCCAGCCGGCCCACGGCATCGAACTGTTATAGGACAGGGAGAGGGGCAGCCCAAACCCCGCAAACCTGCCTATTCTACATGGGTTCTGCCATCCGCCGCATCAACACAAAACATATGAGACTTTAATGGGAAGGAACTTTAATAAAAACTAGGAAACAATACAGGTAAGGCAAAGAGTCCAGTTTCTAAATGAAGCACCCAAAGTTACCCGTCCCTCGTGGTAAAACTCCATCATATGGGATCGGCCCAGAGCAAGGCCCCAAAGCCTGCTACAAGTCTAAAGCATCTTCGAACCCGCGCGGTAGAGGCTGCGGGCAGCTTCACAGAGCTGCGCTCAACAGCCTGCGCCACCAGGGGAGGCCGTCCTTTCTAACTTCTTTATCAGTCTTAGGCTCTGGCACCCTCTGCTTTATCAGTCCTTACCACTCAGCATGTGGCCTCAGCTTCTTTCACTCACAGCGCTCGCAGCCACCTTTATATTTCCAATTTTACTTGTAAGCTTCATATGTTCGTTACACCTGCAAATAGCCAAAGGGCAGCTGGTGAGCTTGGGAGAAAAGCGGGCGCGGAAAGCACAGGCGGATCGGGGCTGCCCAGGTCCCCAGCGACCTGGGGCTGTGGGGAGACACGGGAGCTGGCACTGAGCTGTCTCTGGAGCGGGTTTGACCCCTGTTGGACCCAACTCCTGGTCAGGGCGCACAGCCCGTGCCTGCGGGGACAGACAGCAGCGCCCCCATCCGGGGTCAGGGATGGGACAGGCCCGGCCAGTCTGGTCCTGGCAGCGGGGTCGGTGCAAACCGCAGGTCTAGTCCAGACTCAGCCGGAGTGAGATGCCTGCACAGCTGTTAGGACGGAGGATTGCAATTTAGGAAGTTTAAAGTAAATGGAGGTTTATATATTTGTTCCCGTGGGGGCATCTTACTCTCTAGATTCCCGCTTTTTGTTTAATAAGTTGTGTTTTAAGGAGCCTCTTGGCTCTTTTAACTGAACTGGTCTTGTAGGGCTACAAGGGACTCCAGCACATGTTTAATATAGTTTGTAGCAGGAACGAGTTAAAGGCTTTGGAGATGTAAGCAGGTCCATGATCAGCTTTTATTTATGATGGGATTCCCATCACTGCAATGGCAGATAAAAGGGGTTTTTACATGCTTCACAATTTACCCTGTTTTGGGCCCAGGCTTGAATTAATGCAGAATAGGTGTCTTTAGAGACATGAATGTAAGGTCTATTAGTCAAATATCATTACATTTGAGAATTTGGGCTCCTGTATTATTTCTATCTTTTGTAGCAGTGGCTAGAAGAGCCAATGGGCTGTTAGTTTGGAATTTGGTTATGATGTCCTCTCTTAATAGAGGAATAGGAAGGAAGACTAAAATTTAATGTGCTATGAATTTTATCAATATATCCAGATTGACCCAATTTGTTTTTTTTTCCAAAAGGAAAACCCTTTTATTGGCTGTCTTAGGAGTCCTTTTTTTATAGGGCAGCCCCGATACAAAACGGGGTGCCTGACTGTGGGTCCTCACCCGTGCACTTAAAAGGACTTATCAATACTCTACTGCAGGCACATGCGAAAGGTTAATAAAAGGTTTATTTACAAGGGAAGGGGAAATGAGGAAATGTACAGCTCAAGGAGAAAAGTGGGAGACAAAGTTTTAAATGCGTCCTACCCAATCTGCTGATCAGGGCCCTGAAGCCAGGAGGCAAGCAACAGAGAGAGAGACCCCACGGCCCAAGTGTTTGGTTTTTATACCCAACCTGGCTGCTTAACTCCACCCTCAGGTCCCAGCCACCTTCCTTTGGTGGTGACAGGATTTGTCTTTCCAATGTCTTGATGACTTTGGTCTGGAGTGGGGGTGGGGTCCACAAAGCCTGTATGGGATTAGCTCAGAACATCCTTTCCTCCTAACACTTTTAGGACATAGAATTTAATGTTTTAGAATTTTTGGTATCAAAGAAGTTGTCATAGGATTCACAGACTTACAGATTTTTATAAAATAGTTAATTACTCAGTGATAAGGATTTTTAAGAATAGAGCTATTTCTTTGACAAGGGTTAGCAATGCTGATAGGAAAAGATTTTTTTCTCATAGCCTGAGGGTAAAAAAGCACCAAGATTTTAGATGACAGAAACAGTCCTTAATTTTATTATCAAAAATAGTGAGAACACTTTAAGAATACTTGAGTCCTTATTACAGATGAAAATTAAAGTTTGGTTTTACATAAGTACACTACTGATACCAAACTTAAATATTTCCATAGCAAGTCATTTGAGCACCTAACATTTTTTTTCAGATACCTCTCAGATCTTCAACACTTTCTTTTGCCTTCCTATTTTTATACCATTTCTTTTTAAAGACAGCCATTTTATTTTGACACTCAATGTTTCCCAATACCCTCAACATATCCATTTCAAATACATTCCTTAACACAACTTACTTTATTTACATTTACAGTTAGGACATCTTGTTTTTAATTTTTAAATTGTAAGACATTGTAAGTAAGGACTGTTATGCTATCACTCCTTTGTACTGGATAACTCATGCATAAACATAAGTTTTAATTGGTTTAATTTTTTTAGGTGAGATGACATTAAATTTTGGTTTAATTTTTTTAGGTGAGATGACATTAAATTTTAGTTTTGGGCCTCCCCTGGTGGCGCAGCGGTTGAGCACTGGGCTGTGAAGCTGCCTGCAGCCTCTGCAGCACCGGTTTGATCCCTGGCCACTGGCGAGGGTCCCACATGGTGCGCAGGCATCTCCTGCTACCCTCACTGCTCCCTTCAGCAGTGTATTTCGTCGGTCTGCCTGTTCTGTTCCCCACTCTGACTGTGGTGAATTCTCTGACCCTCCCGTGCTTTTGACTATACCCAGTGCTTGTATAAATAAATAAAAAAATTAAAATAAAATAAATTTTAGTTTTCTTATAAGAAGCAAAAAGTAAACCTGCAAGCTCAATGATTTTAGAGAAAGTGATTTTAATTATTTAACAAATTCTCATTGTTAAACTTAGTTAAACCTTAGTTTTATATGAAATTTGGCCACTTTTTTTTTTAATTTTTATTTATTTATGCATACAAGCACTGGGTACAGTCAGAAGCGCAGGAGGGTGAGAGAATTCACCAGAGACAGAGCGAGGAGCAGAACAGGCAGACTTGACGAAATACACTGCTGAGGGAGCAGTGAGCGCCACAGGAGAGGTCTGCCTGCCATATGGGACCCTCCCCTGGCGGCGGGGTGGAACTGGCACTGCAGAGGCTGCGGGCAGCTTCGCAGCCCAGCACTCAACCGCCGTGCCACTGGGGAGGCCCAAAATTTGGCCACTATTTACAAAATAATAAGAGAACAAATTTAAGAGAGATACCAATTGTGGTTTTTAGGGTTTTTTTAGGAGTGGAATTTTAAATTAATTCCAGAGTTGCAAATTGTAACAATCCCATAATCCAAATTTCATTCTTAGGAAAGCACTAGTTAGATTGATGAACAGCAAGAAAAATCAGAGACTTAACATCATATACATTTCCTACATACCTGTGAGGAACTCAGTACTGCTAAGTAACTTGCAGTTGAGGCTATAGACATCATCTTGAAATTTTTGCTAGGACAAGGGGAAAGAGAGAAGTCAATTGGGGCTTTTCCTGGAAAAGAATTTTATCAGGAGAACTTTAGGTATAATCATCAAAATGCAAACTTACCTTCTTTGATGTAGACTCAGTCCATTACTCTTTTTCTGAATACTGTGCACTTCCTTTTTAAAATAAAGACATTTAAACATAAAGTATTGATACCCAACATTATAACCTTAAAGCATGCATGCTTCATATTCAACCAGTAAGTTTTGAACTAGTTTTTGATTACCAAAATGTTAGATCGCGATCTCAAAATTGGGGATTTTTTTATTAGAATTTATAGAGGCACCATTTATAATCAACCCTCCGGTGGCCAAAGACAGTAATAGACACTGAAATTTTTTGATTCTCCTTTTA